TATAATATTCTTATATAATCTTTAATTATTTAAAGAGCTAATTAAAGGCTTTTAATTACTTTAGCCCTATTTCTTTTAATATAAGGCTTTTAATTAAAGCTTTAAGATATTACTTAAATATACTCTTAATTAAAGTTTAAGCTTAAGCAACTTATTTTATATTATTTACCCCTTAAGATTTAAAATAAATACCTTTTTAAGATTATTATATAAGTTATTAAATTGCTTTATAATATTATTAAATTTAATATATATTAATAAATAACTTATTATAAGTTTTATTATAATAATTTAAGTATAATTATCTTAGCATATAATTTATGCTTTTTAATTATAAATTAAGGAAAAGATATTTTTATTATTACTGCTATATAAACTAATAATACTTTATTTCTTAATATTTTAGTATTTTTAAAGCTAAAAAAATAAAAAATTAAGAAGGTAAATATTTAATGCAAGCTAAAAAAGATACTTATTCTTAATAAGTTATTTATTTTTAATAATATAATTATAAGTATCTTTAATAAAGGTACTTTATATTTTTATTAAAAGGGCTAAGGTAAAAAGATTATGCTTATTAATAATAAGGTTAATAATTATACTTAATAATATATAAAGCAATATATATAAAAAGCATACCTTATTTTTATTTATTAACTTAAGGTAGTGTTTAACTTATTAATAGCAGCTTAAATTTAAAAGCCTTTTTATAAGGATTATAATAAGCTAAATTACTAGCTACAATAATAAGTTAATAACCTAAAGTATAAACTTTAATATATGCTTTTAAATTTATCTTAAGTTAAATTAATAGTTTTTATTAATAGCTTATTTATTAATAATAAGGACCTTAGCTTATAAATTAGCTTTATTATTATATTTATAAATAAGATATAAACTTAATAAGCTTTTAAATAAAATATTAAAGGCAATATTATTTATTAATTCTTAATTAAGTATTAAAGAATAACTTAAAGCATTTTAGCTTTAAAAATTTATAATATAGTTAATAGCTTTAATATAGCTATAATGCTAATGGTTATTTTACGCTAAATTATTATATATTTAAATATTATAATAATTCTTCTTATAATATACATTAACTTATATTTCTTATATAAATGCTTAATTAAGCTTAATATAATAAAAAAAAGCGCCTTATAATTAATATTATAGCTCTTTAATAGTTATATAAAAAGCATAAGATCTTTAAAATTTATTAAATTACTAAAAACTATAATTTAGCTAATGCCTTTATAAAAAATACCTTTAATAGCACTTTTTAACGCTTTATAAATATAAATAATATTATAATTAAGGTATAGGGCTATATAAATTATAGCTAAGAAGATAAGGCAATTATTTAAATATAGCAAAAAGTTAAGAAAACTATAATGCATTAAGGCTTAAACTTAAATTATTAAAATATAGTTTAATAACTTATTAGCAAATTGCATTAATATAACCTTAAATATTATTATTATATTATATATTATAAGGTTATTAAGTTAATATTAATGTAATTAACTTAAGTATGTATATTATAATTATAAAGATAAAAAGATTGTTAAAAGTTTTTAATAAGGAATAATAAGATAACTTCTTTAATTAAAGGTAATGTATAGCAAAAATATAAAAATTTAGTTTATATTTATTAATTATTTATAAATTACCTTATAATGTAATATAATTAATTAACTTTAAATTATATTCCTTTTAAGAGCAAACCTTATATTTAAGATTTTTATAATAATGCTTATGCATTAAGAGTTTAAGTAATAAGGATTATTATTATCCTATAAATACTTAAGTTGCCAGCTTATATTTAATGAGCGTTCTTAATTAAATTTCATAATTTAATACCTATATATTAAAATTAAAAGTATTATTATTTATTAATTTAATTAATAATCTTTATTTTATACCTTACTTTCCTTTTATTTAAATACCTTATTTATTAATCCTTATAACTTATTAATTTTATTTATTTAACCTTTATTTCAATAACTTATTTTTTAATTATACTTCTTAATTTCTTTATTTAATAAGCGATATTAAGCATAGCAAAGCTTAAGCTAAGTTAAATTAAGAAATTTTAGTTATTTAAGGATTAAATAATTATGTTAGCAATTTAAGGGTTTAATTTAATCCTTATTTAATTTAAGCGCTATAAGTAATGAAAATATAAGTTTATAAAATACATTATAAATAAAATATTTATATAATAATTATAATTTTTTAAGCTTTTTAACTTTATATAATTAGGATGTTTTAATATATATATATACTTAATTAATTTCTTTTTATTAATTATATACTTTAATGAATTAATTAACCTTTAACCTTTTAATAATGATTTAAGCTTTTTTATATGCTTGCCTTTTATAATAATATAGCATAGCGGGATGATAATGCATTTATAATTTAACTTATATACGTAATTAATTAATTGCTTCTTAACCTTAAGTTTAATTTAATTTAATACCTTTTTTTCTTTTATACTTTTTTAAAAGTAATATGCACTTATAAAATAAAAACTGCTAGTATAGGAATAATAGGTATTGTTTATATGGAGGATTGTTTGGAATTAGGTAGCTTTAGCTTGTTAGGATGCTTGGTAGGTAGTAGCCTTAGCGCTGCATATAAAATAGCTAGCATAGTTAGGCCTTTTGCCTTCCTTTTATAATTAATAATAATTAACTATTATACTAACCAAACATTATATTGCAATTCGTAACCCAGCCAACAATTAGCGAAATAAATTATTTAATTAAAAGATTAATAATTTTTAATTATAATTAAAAATATTTAATAATATATAAGTATTATATTATTATATTAAAAAAGTTAAAACTTTTTTTAAAAAACTTAAAAAAGTAAGCTTTAATTAAAAAAATAAAAGCATTTTTAAAAAGTTTAATAAATAAAATAATTTAAAAATTTATATTAAAGTTTTTATTAAAGTAATAAAATAAATAATAAGAAATTAATTAAATATTAATTTAAATAATAATTTCTTTTTATATTACTTTAATTATATTTATTTTTTTATTATTATAATTTTAAATCTTTATTAAAATTTTAATTAAAATATAAATATATTAAATAATATTAATCTTTATTTTATTATATTTTAAGAGTTAAAAAAGTTTATTTTTTTATATAAAAAGTATTTAATAAATATAGTATATTTTAAAGCTTTATAATTTATTTTATATTAATTTAATTAATATTTAATAAATTTATAAATAATAAGTTTATATATTTATAAATAAAGTTATATAATATATAAAAATTATAATATTAAATAAATAATTATTTATTAAAATAAAGAAAAATTTATAAATTTTTCTTAAGCTTTATATTTTTATAATATAAAAAAAATAAGCTTTATTTTTTATATTCTTAATTAAAATATTAAAGCTTTTTATAAATAAAGTAATTATTATTATTTTTTATATAAAATATAATAATAAAGTTTTTATTAATAAAGAAAAAGTAAATATTAAAAGGGTAATATATTTAAAAATATATATTAAATTTAATATAAAATTTATAAATAACTTTTAATTAAATATTAAAAATAAATTAATAAAAAAATATTACTTAATGCTTATATAAGAAATAAAAATATATTATTTTTAATTTTTATATTAACTTTAAATTTTATAAAAAAAATAATAAAAATAAATATTAAAGTTATTATAAATATAAAAGAATTTTTTTAATTAATATAACTTTTTTAAGTAATAATAAATTAAATATAAGCTTAATATAATGTTATTTATTATATTAAATAATTTAAAAATTATTAAAGTTAATAAAAAATATAACTTTTATATTTATTAAAATTTTAAAAATATAAAGCTTTAATAATAATAATAAAGTTATTATTATAATGCTATTTGCAAATAGCTATTATTAAGTAGGTATTAATAAATTTAATGTATATTGGGTAATTGCCTTAATAAAAGCTGCCAAGACAAAATTAAATAGGAGGAGTGTGTAGAGGGTATATGGATAGTGTTATGAGTTAAGATTATTTCAATCCCTGCAACACCGGCCGCGTGGCCTAATGGCTAAGGCGTCAGATTTCGGTTGAAATCAACATTCTCTGAAGATTGTACGTTCGAGGTTATCCAATAGGGAAGCTATTCTCTCTCAGAGGAGGTCCTCCCACAGGAGGTTATACCACAGGTGGTTGTCTCCGGATCCGAGGCTTGAGCATACGATGGCATTCCCTGGACAATCCTGCGGTCGTGCTGCAGGGCTTTATGGTTGGCGCGGAGCGCGACGTCCTCCAGTCTCACCTTACAACGGTTTTCAATCGTATTGGGGTTCGTCGAGTACTCTTCCGCGGCCTTGACTCGGGGTGGCGTTATTGGTGCAGCAAGTAGGGGGTGTAATTATACAATGGTTTGCAGGGCAGGCAGAGTGCCCTCGCAATAGGTCTTTTGGCCCAGTGGTTTATTTTCTGCGCCAGTTATACTGATTGGGCGTAAGGGTGTGTAGCAAAACGAGGCAGGGTGTTAAACGTAAAGCAAAACAAAGGAGGTTATCCCATAAGACACTATCCCAAAAAAGCTTAATGATATTTCATAAATAAAAGAAGAAGCACCTGCGTTAATCCTGCGGAACGGTACAGCTGCGCTATCTTTCACAGGCAAACAACGTATCCAAGCGGTGGCCGCCACATGCAAGCAGACCCCTGACACCCAGACTATACCCAGGTGATTGGGAGTTGAAAGAGCCGGCGTCTATCACTTGGGGAAATATCACACTCTTGTGGACAGCATCTTCAAAACTCTTCGCATTAATGGTGTCAATCCTACTTTCTAGGAGGTGTGTTATCAAGTACGGGGATGGACCGCAGTCCTGGTCATGAACGATTCCGCCCAGCTATCCTTTGCAATACCGATGGGAAGCCCCTGACCAAAAATGGAGGCCGTCCAAAAAGAACGAAATCATAGAACCCCGTTCTCACTTCCCCGTCCCGTCACTCAGTCGTGCTCGCTGGACTCCTGTGCTGCAGACATCTCGGCTTCCGCATCGTAGGGGGCAGAGGCCAGTACCTCAACACGCTGATTGGCATACCTCGGAACAAAAGTCGAAACCCCCAGGTCGCTCAATTTGCCCGTGGTTTTCAACCAGTCCGTCGCCCCAATCTTGGTAGTGTGCGCATATGTCCATGTGCACTGTGGTAGGCCAAATTTCTTGCAGGTCTCGCAGAGGGAGCCGTCTTCAATAGGTTTGCACGGCGCACTCTGTTTCGAATATTAGTGCCATGTATTTTCACAACCCGAAAGTGTTAACTTACATCATTCAGTGAAATGCAGCAGTCGCAGTTCATCCGCCACTTGGGGAGGTCCTTCGGCTTAGTACCGATGGCGATCTTCGGGTTACCATTGACCCTTGAAAGACCATGAACCAAGCGCTCCTGCATGAACCGCCTCGACAGGTCATCAAGATGTGGCGGCCAGAGAACATTCTGTACTTGTGCTGGACGAACACAGTACTGCTGTCGAAGATGATCGTAGAAGACTTCCTTCACATCGTATCTACCCACCCCAGATACGTCGCGGACCCAGGCCGGAATAGGTACCTGGGCATTCATGTAGTGAGTTCGCGTGAGCAAGACCGAGAGACGCATGCCGAAAGTGACCGCGTTTAATTCGTTCGCCTCCTTGTCAAACTCCAGCATTTTTGTTCGTTGAAGAATGGCCGCCTTCCAGACTCCAGTCTCCCGGTCGGCCCACTGGATCTGGATCGACAAAGAGAGAAGTTTGAGGAACTCCATGTTCCTCGTGACTGCTGGCATTCTCACATACGGTGCCACGACTTTGGTGTACCTGCCTGCATCCCGGTCATACCCAATTCTGAACTGGATATGAAGCTCCTGTCCATTCTTAAGGTTGCCTTCTTTTATGACATCCTTTTGCACTGCGAGCTTCAGGGCCTTGGTCAGCACCAACTGGTTGCTCCCCGCCTCCTTTGACGAGGCCACCAGAGGTCGACGTGTGCGGAAGATGTAGGCCTTCTGCTTATAGTCGTACCAGTACATTATTGTTCGGTCAGAGTTGATTTGACTGAAAACCGGTGTGAGCCAGCTCAATCCGACTGTTCGCCGGGGAGCCCACCCGGTACGACCCCGTACCTTGACCATGATGCCGTTCAGGATCTTGGCATACTGGATTTCCCGAAGACTACCGGCTGCCAGTTCTCGCTTCAAGGGCTGCGCCGGGTCGTCGTGGATGAGAATAGGGTACCAAGATTGAAACAGGCACACCAGAGTCAACTCCAGAACGTCGAGGAACCTGGCCAGGCCAATGGCATCAAGGGCCTTCTTCACACTGTTGTCTTTGTAGTTGACGAGGAGGAAGGGAACCATAGCCCTTCTCTGGGCTCCCTTCCCGACTCTGTAATGGTTGCTCTTTGAGTCGAGTTCTCCCTTCAAAAACCGCTCATGTCGGTACCTGCGATCATACATGTCGCCGCTCTGACCCGGATAGACTGCATCCGTGATAGTTGGATCGTGGAGGATCAATTTGACCTTGGTCTCCTTGATATCAGCGTAGACCCATAAGTAACAGCCCGCAGTGCTGGAGTGGTCCTTAGAATTGATTTCAGGCAAGCGTGTCACAAAATCGCGTGGGTTGAACACGCCGTTCTTCATGATGTCTTGGGCTTGGAGAAGAAGACATGCGTAGAATGCCGGGGCAAACAGACTTGAATGCGGCCCAAAAATGGCTTGCTCGACCGTGTTGATGTCGGTGTGTTTGATGGGCTCGAGGAGCGCATTCTTGCTTGCTGCTATGGTCTTCCATAGGTCCTCAAGAGTTCTCATGAGGCAGTTCGGCATTGTTGATTGGGGTGGTAGATTGATACTGCTGGTATCGGTAGAGGGGATCTGTTGGTAGGTCTCTCGTACGTACGACAATCGTATGGGAAGCAATTGTATATTAGTGTTGTTCTGTCTAAGTTTTAAAAGGCTACATGCCCCAAAGGGGATAACTAAAGTAGCCTTCTAAGTAATAAGGGTCGTACTTGCCAATACTCATAGTTTTTCTCTTCTTTTAATAAATATATACAATCCTTATTATAGTTAACCTTAAAATCATAATTCATTGCATATTAAGTATATATAACCTTTATTATAAGAAAGCATTACCAAAAAGGCCTAAAATCATAACTTATAAATTCTAAAGCAAGCCTTAATAACCCTTGCCATTGCATTACCCTTTAAACTTATAACCTTTATTATTGCACCATTCCTTAAACATTATATTTATTATCCTTAATACTTAGCTTTTAAAATCGCTTCTTTATAAAGATTATTAACTTTCGCATAAGGGCCTTAATCTTAAATTTCTTTTTTATAAGGGAAGTTAATGCCTATAAAGTTAATGCCAAACCCTTTAGCTTATATTTATTTTTATTATATATCTTTATAATATAAACATTATTATCTCCATCCTTACTTTTATTATTAAAATATACTTAATATTGCTTTAAATTATTTTCCTTTAGCTACTTCTTATCTTTTTAAAATTAAGTATTATAAGCAACTTAATTATTTATTAAATCCTTTTCTTACTTTTTATTATTCTTTTTAATTTCCTTAATAATTATCTTTTATTTAAATTACTTAGGTAATAATGCATATTTCTTAATAAGTCCCTTTATATATAAGCCTTATATGCATTTATTAATAGTTTAATGCAAAAAGTTTTAAAGCTAGGTTAATATAGCAATTTAATCCTTTAATAGCTAAATCTTTCCAATTTAATATATATAAAAAATACTTAAGATTAAAACTTTTATTAAGTTATTTATTATAAAAATTGCAATAATTTAGTATTTAAAATAATAATTACCTTAATAATTCTCATTATTAAGGATATTATGCAATCTTATATTAAAAATTTCAATGCTCTTAATGTAAATACATAACTTTTTAATTATATTATTAAAAGATATTTGCTTATCTTAATATTAAAAGTTATTAATAATTTAAATAATAGCTATTATAATAACGTTATTTAGGAAAAGTATCTTAGCTTAAGTTATAGCTATAGCCTTTAGCTTATTAATTTTAATAATTCCGTGGAAATTAATCTTGGTAAGTAGCTTACTCTTTTTAATGCTTGGCATAAAAGTAAAGTTAAAGGCAGTTTTTATAATCTTTATTAATGTTTTATTAGCTTAGTTTTAATTATTTTTATTATTAATAATAATTAAATTGCTATTAATATTAAGTAGATAAAAGTTATTATCATTAACATCTTTATTAATATTTATTAGATAAGCAAGCGGATAAGAGTTGTTATTATTAATATTCTTATTAATATTTATTAAATAAGCGTCGTTAGCAATAACTTTGCTATAGGAATTAATAAGATTAATAAGCTTATCTTTATCTTTATTAATTAAGGTGATTTTAACCCTTTTTATAGCCTTAGTAATAATTTTAATCTTTATTTTATTGCTTAATAGGAATGTAATTATAATATTTATTTTATTAATTAAGGTTATAATTGCAATATTTATAGGGGAATCTTAATTTTGGTTAAGGATTGCGATAAGGCTATCTTTAGTGCTGGCCATGTTAATAGCAGCTATAGCAATGGTTATATTAAGTATATCCTTAACGCAGGAAGTAAATATAATATTTATTAAATAATTTTACTTATTATTATTATCCTTATAAGGTATATTAATAAAAGTATTAAACAATTCTTATAAGTTATTATTAATATTTTCTATTATAATAAAAAGAAAAAAATTTTTATAGGAATTTAGTAATTAAAATAAATATTTATAATGCAAAACTTTGCGATTATTATATAATAATTATTAATTTATTCTTTAGTTATAAGAAAAGTTAATAAGTTATAAATAAATTTAATAAAAGTTAATTTTAATATCTTGCTAATAAATAATAGTAAAAAGTAATAATAATAATAAAGTTAATTTTAAAATAATAATTATTAATAATATTAATAATTATAAGGTTATCCTTATATAAGATAAAGTATTAAAAAGGTTTTAATTAAAATATAAAAGGTTAAAGTTTATATTAAGGGTTTAAGTTTAAGAAGTATAAGGTTTTATAGTTAATAGCGGTAAGGTTAAAAGGAAAAAGGTATTAACGGCAAGTTGCTTCTTCCTTAGCAAGAAGGGGCTACTTTAGATTTCTTAACTAACCTATTTATTTATATATAAAGCTTATTATTATTAATAAGCTTTTATAATATAGTATTTAAAGTTGGTTTTATTATTATATTAGTAAAGTTATCTTTCTTATTTATTTACCTTACTTTAGCAATCTTTCTTATCTTATATAATTTTTATAATAATATAATATTAATTATAAAGCGCTTTTTCTTTATTATTCTTAGCTTTATAAGGTATTTATATAAGCTATATAAGTTTATATAAATAATTAAGGGTATATTTAATAATAAAAATCATTTTATAGCCATCCTAATTATTATAGCTAAGGAGATTTTAATATCCACTTTATTTACCATACCATAAATTTCGCTTGCTAATATGCTTTAAATAACACATTTACACTTTATTAATAATTAATAAAGAATATTATCCATTATTATAAATCCCTTAGTTTCCTTATAAATCTTATTTATAAGGATAATAATATATTTAAGTTAAAATATTAAGTTTCAATTATTTGTAAATAATTCATTTATAAATATAAAAAGTTTCGTTATTTTAAAATTAAGGAGTATATATTTAATTCCTTATATAGCATTATCTATTTACTATAATAATTGCATATTTAAGCTCTTATAATCTCCTATCTTTAGGTTTTATACCTATGCAGCTATTAAAAGATCGTATAAAGCTTTTAATTAGTAAATTAAAGCTATATATACTCCATAGGCTTTCTATTTAAGGTATCTTTAAAAAGCATCTTTAATTATTGCATTAATAAGAGCAAGTTTATTAGCCTATCCCTTTTATTAAATAGTAATTAAGCTAATAATATTTATAGTTATGCAAGCCCCGTTATAATTTATTAAGTTTTTAAGCATTAACTCTTATTTTAATTTTTCTTATAATTTTATAGCTTTTATCTTAATTTCCTCCTTATTTTAAAATTCTAGCATAAATAAAATTAATATATTATTTATTTATATGCTTATTATCCTAAAAAGTTATATAGGCTTTATAATTATTAAGCAAGAATTATATATAAAGCAGTTTATCTTAAGCTTTTATTAATAATATCTTTAATATATATTAAATTAATAAATATTAAATTTTGCTATGCTATATAAGGGTTAAATAATATAAATAATTATACCCAAAGGGTATTTATTCTTTAATTCCTTTAATAGCTTTGCAAAGATTATTTTACGTAATTCCAACTTTACTTAAAAGTAAGCTTAAGTAATATCTTAAAGTATAAGAATTATGCCTTTTTCTTAAATTAATAAGGGGGCGAATATAAGAATTGTTTATTAGCTTATTCTTTAAATAATTAAGCTTTGCATTAAGATTAATCCCTTTTTATCATTATTATAACCTTAAATAATAAATTAAGATTTCTCATAAGGTTTTATAATTTTGCTTTTTACCTTCCATATTATATAAGATTTAAAGAAATAATATTTACTATATTACTTTGCTAATCATTTCTTAATTTAAAAGATATCTTTAGCAATAAGGTTATTAATTTCCATTTTATTAAACTCTTTAAATAATAAGCCTAATATTATAATAACTTTATTTTATCTTAATTTAATTACTAAGTTATAATTTTCATTTTTTTTCTTTAAAATATATAATATAATAATGCAGTCTTTTATTTTTAATAATAGTAATTACATAATAAGTTGCATTTAAGGTTTTATAGCTAAGTTTTTTACTTATAAGGGTTGCATTTCCTCATTATTATCTTAATAATACGGTTAAATAATCGTTAACCTAAACATCACGGTTCCATTTAATATATCTAAGGTTATATTATGGCTATTTACAGTAATAACCTTATATAAATCCTTTTATCCCTCTTTCTCTCTTTATATATAAACTTTACATTATAATAAATATTTTATATTAAAGATAAGTTTAACCTTAATATTTAATGCGTTTTGCATTTATTATTTAGCTATAGTTTTTTATAGCATCTTTATAGCCTTTAAAATAACTTTCGCTTACTTCTATGTTAATGATAATAATGATAACTTATGCAATACTTATAAATAGGTATTAAAGACTAAAAGCATAGAAATTAATTTATTTAATTTAGCAATATTATTAATAGCTTTTATAGCTATTTATAAAATAACATTATTATTTATATTATTATATAATTTAATATATAAGATTTTATATACTTATTTAAGGGCTTAATAATATCTCTTAACTTTCTTAATAAACTAATATACTTTTATAAAAATCTATTTATATTTAATTCCCATTATTTATGCCTTTAAATGGAATTTTAAGGATGCAAAGTTCATTCTTACGTTATATTTAATAATATTTAATAATTCTTAATATATATTAATTCAGAACATTTGCAATGTTTATTATATAGTTTTTATAAATATAAATTTTAAGAATTTCGCTCCTTAAAAAGCAATGGCTTAATTTATAACATAAAGAATTAAATATTCACTTAAATATATTATATTAATTAAAATTTCATAGTTAAATTCATAATTATTATATAACGTAAACTTAAAATACCTAGGTATAAGTTTATTTATTTAATAATAATAATATATCTTCTTAATCTCTGCCATTACTTATTTATTAATATTTAAATTACTAGCTTTTTTAAGCATTTAGCATAATTAATTTATTAATAAGTATTTAAAATAATAATGG